TTTCAATTACGATGCTGGGTAAAACTAGTTGAAATAGTCGTAAAATAAATCTTTTTCAAAACAATGTTGGTTCGAATATTTGTGGTTAAATTGCGACATGTGTACGTGAACAAAAATATATATATATATATTTTTTTTTAATTGTTTTTCAATAAGAGAGTGTCATATTACAACAAATAATTACATCACAGCACTATGGTGTCAATAGAGAAATTCAGAATTTTCTTAATGTCATTGTAATGATTCAGTTTGTAACTAGATTTCATCAAAAATCTCTCAATTTTGAAATTGAACCTCAAGTCTAACTATTGTCCTTGTTTTAATATTAGAATGTGGATAATCTTAATCGCTAAGCTGCCCGGTAGTCTATTAATTTGGAGATTGTGGTTTCCAATCCCAGCTAATGACTAAGTTTAAACATTTAGCAAATGTTTATTTTATTTAAATTTAAACAACTAGGTGGTATTATATTCTTTAAACAAAATTCTAACTTAACTTTATTTTAGGACCCATAGTGCACTACTGTTCAAATGTTTGTGGTTTTCTGTACATGGTTTTTCTACTACTTATCTTGTTGTGTTCATATCAATTAAGTCGTTTTGTTTTTAGTATGTGTCTGTAATCTATTGTCTCCGGTTTCTGTCTGCCTGTCTGTCTGTCTGTCTTTTTGTCATTTTAGTCTTCGTTTTAAACGAAACAACAATCCTTGCTACAAGATTTACTCATTAGCATTTTAAATTTTTAAAGGACATAGTTTTGTTTTCACAAACTAAGCAAAAGCAATCTGAGAGTAATGTGACGTGCGATGATTTTTATGCAAAATTTAAGAAAAGTTTTATTTTTCTGGTTTTTGCATTTATATAGAATTAAGTGCCATAACAGGTATTGTTTGGAAATCATATATTCACAAACAAATCTAATTACAAATTTTAGATTTGAAATAATACTCTCAAGGAAATTTTAGAAACAAATTAGATTTTTATTTTTGTGTATTTTACATAAACCAAAATTTTTAAAAACAATTAAATTTCTCAGAAACAACTTTATTCTATATCAGAGAGTTTTGTTAAATTAATGACTCCCTAAATTCAATTTTTAAATTTTTCGGACTAAACTTCGAACATAATTAAGCTCTAAGCATCAGTTTAAGTTGAAAATCTATTATTGCTGTGCCTTTTTAAACCACAAAATTTTCTATAGAACTTTTTCAATATTTTCTCTTTTACTTTACACAAAGCACACACTTCTCACTTATGGCTTTGACCTTTTTATCCTTTAATATTGTTTCATCAATGTTTTCTACGTTCAGGCTTAATTAATCTTCTGGTATCTGATTGAAAGTGAGTATGTGTTTGGGTATAGATGTAAAAGGTGATTTGTTGGGGGGAGGCTACTGTACTTTATAGGACACCTGATTAATCTATACCGGGTACATTAGAAGGCAATACATGAAAGCTTTGAATAATTTCCCAGTGGTATCAGGCCACTCGGGAATAATCGGCATCAAATGAGCGAATAAACTTGATTTGAAGGGAAGGGGACACTAGGTAGTGTTCCAGACAGAGATTCCCATAAGGCCAATATGAATAATGAAAGGATGATTCTAGAATGATGGTATAAAGCAAAGTCTCCAGAATGAACAAGTCTAAAATTAGGATGATGTTACGTATTCTAAGTGGAAATACACGATTACAGGCTCAACTATTTAAAATGGGATTCATTTGCGAATTCAGACAAATGTAGAGAGGACTATTAAACTCTGGATCACTTTATCATTGCCGGGCTTTCGTTAAAACTTGATCCAAATATTGCTATTTAATTTGTAAGTACTTATACAAGTACTTATTTATAAGCGAGCGTTGTAAGTACTTGCAACTAATATATAACAGCGTTAAAATATACCAATCTATAAATAACTCTGGATCACTTCATCATTGTCGTAGAAATAAGATTCTAATATAGCTATTTAATGTATAATTATTTATATGCAAAATGTCAAGGTGTAAATAGAGAAAAGTAGTCTAGTGAGTTTTTATACCCTACACCACTATAGTGGGGAGGGTATTATACGTTTGTGCTGATGTTTGTAACATACAAAAATATTGGTCCTACACCAATATCGACTCAGAATCACATTTTGAGTCGATTAAGACATGTCCGTCCGTCTGTCCGGCTGGCTGGCTGTCTGTCCATGTAAACCTTGTGCGCAAGGTGCAGGCCGCAATTTTCAAGATAATTTGATGAAATTTGGACCAAGCCTGTTTTTTGGCACAAGGACGAAAATGGTTGAAATCGGTCCATTATTTCACCTAGCCCCCATACAACCGTACCTCCCGATTTGGGCTTTTTATGCCATAATTATGTCAAATATACTATTATCTCTCTAAAAATTGGCACAAATAAGTTTTATATAAGTATAAATGATACTGCAGATTTTCGTAATGATCGGCCCTTATTTGACCCTAGCCCCCATACAAACCCCCCTTCAAAAAATGTCTTAAACGTCTAAAATTGACTTGTAACCATTTGTATCGCAATGAAACTCAACATAATTAACTATTATTTAAAAATATACCCTTTTCCCAAATTTAATGAGGATCGGCCCATGTTTGACCTATACTTCTATATAAAGCTTCATTTAGAAAATTTGTTTTTTATCAATAAATTGCTTAAATACTTTGGAATTAACGTAAAATTCAACATAAAAGTTTCTTTGTGAAAAATAAAAATTTTTTAAATATACTCATGGTGTAGGGTATTATATAGTCGGCATTGCCCGACTATACTTTCCTACTTGTTTTAAGTTAATGTAAGTTTTTATCACATAATTTTTTTTATTAAGATAATTCTCGAAATGTTCGTGTTACCTATTAAAAAACACCCTGTAGTAATAAATCTTTCTTAGGAAGTTCATTATCCATTTTTGCATAAATCAATTCCCAAATCTTGTTCTACATAGAATACAGTAGCAATGAATGTTTAAAGAAATTTAATAGTATAAATCAAAATTGGCATGCTAGTAATCAAGAACTGAAAGGTGTAATTTATTCTTCAAAGTTGGAACAGGTAAATTAATTTTGTGCGAGAAATATAGTTAAAGGGCAAGTTATCCAACAATTGTAAATGAGGTCAAAGTATACTTTTCTAGAAAGATAGAAATTTCAAGAAAATAAAAAAGAATTATAGAAGTAGCTAATGTAAGTATCAGATGCAATGCGATGCTGAAAATCTGTGATATTGAGATCATGTTTAAGTCCGTTTAAGGAATTGATTACTTTTCTTAGGACATTATTTAACATCACTTTCTGACAACTTAAAAATATGTATATCTTTTTTACATGTTCTAATTTTGCGTAATAATTTCTACACTGAAAATAATTCATGCTGAACTTTTTTCATAATATTTACGAACATTTTGTATATAATACGAAATATTATTTAATCAAAACCCTTTTCTAATTCTACGAAAGTACCGGAATTTGCAGTAATATGTTTCTTCGTATATATTAAGAAACTTTCTTTTCTTAGAAAATGGTACCCTATCCGCGACTCTTATGAAAGAGTCTTTTATTAGCCCCTCTTCTGATCAGTTCTAACTCATATTTCAATCTTTTTTGAGTCGAATTACAGGTCGTTTTAGAGTAATTTCCAAATCATAATTAAGTAATTTTTGAGTATTTTATCACTCATTTTTATGACTTTTACAGACAAATACAGTAATACAGAAAACACGTTTATGATCTTGCGACTGCGCGAAATATAAATAAATATTCGAATCAGTTTTTAAGCCTACAACTTATTAATCACTTTTAGGTCAAAGGAATCAAAAAAGACTTACACTACTGATTACTCACTCGTTCAATAATCTTCTAATTGTTAGCTGGGATCTAGCAGTTTTTAAAATTTTTAATCATTAAATTTTTAATAGATGATCATATATGCGCTTATTTTCTTTCGTCGTGAGAAAATGGTACCCCATCCGCGACTCTTCTAAACGAGTGTTTTATGAGTCACACTTCTAATCAAGTTCTGACTCATTTTTTAATCTTTTTTGAGTCATTAATGAGTAGAATTTTACTGGCCGTTTTAGAGTAATTTTCGAATCATATTATAGTCATCTTACTCTCTCAAGCAACTATAACCCAGCTAGCAGTTTTTGAAATTTTTGATCACATTCGAGTCATTTATGACTCTTCTGCACGATTAAAGCTCATTTTCTGATCATAAATGATTCATTCGTCGGGAGAAAATGGTACCCTACCCGCGACTCTTCTAAACGAGTCTTTTATGAGCCCCACTTCTGATCAGTTCTGACTCATTTTTTAATATTTTTCGAGTTATTAATTAGCAGACTTACTGGTCGTTTTAGAATTATTTTCGAATCATATTATAGTAATTTTTGAGTCTTTTCTGAGTAATTTTTATGTTTGTTACAGACAAATACAATACAACAGAAAACACTTTTCGATCTTCCGACTGCTCGAAATGAGCCCATTTTCTAATCAGTTTCGACTCATTTTTGAATCGTTTTTGAGTCATTTTTAAGTGTAAGTAAGAAACAATTTTTGATCTTCCAACTGCTCGAAATATGATCACAAAATAAGTTTTTAAAACCATCATATTTTAAACACCCGGATGATCAATTTATGATTGCTATACATTTTGTTATTGTTTTTCAAATAATCAGTTTTCAATCATATATCGGGATCATTTTTTAAGCGCTCAACTTATTAATCACGTTTAGATCATTAATCATCCAACAATCTTCCAAATGCTAGCTGGGAATGTTAACAGCCCAACCTTTCTAAACTGTGTAGGGTGTAAAGACTTTCTTCTATGGAAATTCTGTTTGATTAGATATTCAAATGTTTACTATAATCCCTAGTTTAGGTCTATCGCCTGAAATAAAAACTTATGTATGTATATTGATTAGTAAAGACCAAATTTTATTAAAAATATATAATTTTTTCTTTATTTATTTACCGTTTACATTTGTATATAAAAATTATTACAAAAATATTTTTTTAAGTAGTTATATGTTATTACAAAATATATATATATTTATTTGTAGATGTGTATAATTATAAAATTTGACTAATGGCAATAATTTGTATGGGTTTTTGTATTTGGGAGCAAATGATTTTAATTAAACATAACTTAATTGTTATATAATTTTATAGTAATTATATAAAATTGAATTGAGAAAATGTTTTAAAAATATTTCGAAAATTATATAAAATACTAAATTTTATATTAGACAAGGATTGACTTTCATACAGTTGTTTAAGGATCCCACTAACAGTAATATTTTTTTAAGAAATCTGCTAAATATATATGGTTTTCTATTAAATATTAAAAAAATTCCCCAAGTTTTTTATTTGGCACAAAGGAAAATTCACATTTTTAAAGAAAGTTTTAAATACAAAAAAATTACAATTTTAAAATTTTGCTTAAATTAAGTTAAATTTTAAGAAATATTTGAAAAAAAAAACAAAAATCGCTATTACTACACAATTTTGCACTATAATTCTCAACAAAAGTGTTTTAATTAAAATATAAATTAATTTTTATATTTTTTTAATTTCTTTGCTGTTACAGAGATTTGTTTAGTGCAAATAAGTTCTAGTAGTTTTGCTGATTTTGTGAAAAAAATTTAAAAAAATAATTTTAGAATAATAAGAAAATAAGACATATATTCATATTTTTTATGAATTTATAAAATACGTTAAACATTTCCATTTAAATCAGGAAGAGAATAGTTTTGAGTTTTCAGTTTGTCATCAAAATAAAGTTTGTTAAATTGTTAAGGTTATAATTCTCAAAGTGTTTATTTAATAATTTTTTTTATAGAAAAAGGTTCTTTATAGATTTATAAATTTTTTTTAAATATTTTTCACATTTTCAAATTTGGATTTTTTAAAAAAATTTTCACATTTGCAAAAAAAAGAAGAAAACTTTATTTCGATAATATTGAGTAAATGTGAAAGAATGTTTTAAAACTGAGATCATGTTTAAGTTCGTTTAAGGAATTGATTACTTTTCTTAGGACATTATTTAACATGTTCTCATTTTGCAGAATAATTTCTACACTGAAAATAACTCATGCTGAACTTTTTTCGTAATATTTACGAACATTTTGTATATAATACGAAATATTATTTAATCAAAACCCTTTTCTAATTCTACGGAAGTACCGGAATTCGCAGTAATATGTTTCTTCGTATATATTAAGAAACTTTGTTTTCTTAGAAAATGGTACCCTAGCCGCGACTCTTATGAAAGAGTATTTTATGAGCCCCTCTTCTGATCAGTTCCAACTCATTTTTCAATCTTTTTTGAGTCGAATTACAGGTCGTTTTAGAGTAATTTCCAAATTATAATTAAGTAATTTTTGAGTATTTTATCAGTCATTTTTATGACTTTTACAGACAAATACAGTAATACAGAAAACAGTTTATGATCTTGCGACTGCGCGAAATATAATAAAATTTTCGAATCAGTTTTTAAGCCTACAATTTATTAATCACTTTTAGGTCATAAAAAGGAGAAACTTTCAATAAAACAAACTTTATTTTAAGGGCATAACTGAAAAACGTTCTTGATTTTTGTAAGAAAGTCGAGCCGGTCTAATATCTCTTTAACAATTAATTTATTTTGTGCTGAAAATTTGTAACAGATGACAGTATTACAATAGGGGCATTTGTTAAAAATAAATGTATATATAATTCTTATATAAAAATACTAATTTATAAAGAATTGAAATTATACTAAAATCTTAAATTAATTATGATTTTATTTGGTAATACGTCTTTTTGTAGAGCTTTTAATATAATGTTTCTAATTATAAACTTATTTTATAAACTTTAAAGTGTCCAGTGTTATAGTGAAAGAAAGACATGCTTTGAAATTATTAAAAAGTACGAATACTAAAGCTACTAAATACTAAATCAATTGTGGCAGAAACTCTGTCGGGAATGTTATAAATTTAAACGAACAATTGTTTCTGAAAAGCTAAAAAGCTTTACACTCTTTGAACCGTTGAGGTAGAGCCTTACCAATTCTAAATAAAAAATATAATTAAACTAAATTTAGAAATTTTCTAATACTTTCAGTAAAAACTAGTTGCCCATTACTGTCATCTTTTTATTTAAGCCAAATTCCCCCCTTTTTTTTAATTTAATAAATCTCCCCCATAAACTTGTATTAAAGCAATATTACTATCGGCAGGAAAATCATGTTGATTCACATCGAATTCATTAATATAAACAGCACCCAAATAGGCAGTATCCTCTGCCTCAGCTGACTTACGATACAGACAACCAATATCTTTTACTTGTATGGCACCATCGAACTCGACCACATAATAGCGCACCTGCCAGCCATTGGCTTGAAAATCTTTGAAAGCCATATCTTTGGGTATTTGTGGACATTCTAGGGGGCCACTTAACAATTCATTGTATTTAGGTTTGAAGGGTGAAACATAACAGCGACCACGTTGCAAACTGACCGTATCATAGTAATCTCCTAGGAACAGGTAACAATCTCTGCTATTATTGCCAGTGCAAAAACGTAAAATGCAATCAAATTCTCCATCTCTGGGATTTAGTTTGTAGGCATAGGCAAATACCAAACCACCACGCAGCATTTTAAAGTCGGAAGAGAAAATACGAAAACTACTGTCGTATTGTAAAATGCGCAGACAGGAGCCACCATTGAAGGCATCATCATAATAACGTGTGGCTAAGTCATGCAAGGGTACCGAAGGCTGCAGTGATTGACGTGACAAATTGAAAAATCTGCCCTCAGTGTTATCTGCTGCAGTTGTTTGCTCTGCGGCTGCAGAGGTAGAGGGCAGTAAAGTTGTTGCTGCTGTGGCTGTTGCTGTGTTTGTTGTTTTTGGCAAACCACTCACGTAGGTTTTTTTCCCTGAACCCAAACAAAAGTCCGAATAGAAGGGCATTGTTATGTACGGATGAGTAGCCAAATGTTCCCATAATAACCACCAAAACTTTTCATTTCTCATTAGAAACGCCTCATTCGCCTGGTCATCACCCAAAGGTTCTTTGATATTATAACCATACTGTTGCAACGTTTCATACGTCCAACCTGGTGCAAAAATTCCCGTAGAGAAACGATGCTTGACAATGCGTGCCAATGTTTGTTTACTTTGAAATTTGGCAGTTTGCCCGCGACCAAAAATATCTATGCCAAAAAAGACATTTTCGAAGGGCTCACGTTCTTGTTCGCAAACCGTACGTGTGACTTGAAGACTACGGTCATTCCACGAATAGTTGACGAGCGCACCATTGGCCGCCTTAAAGAAACGCACATTTTTGTCATTGATCTCATTCTGCCACGATAACTGACCTCCTTCGATGACACTGTCATACCAAATGACTGACCCAGAATCAATTTCTTGTTCAACAATTTCACGTAGTCTATCCACAAAATATCTGAAACAAGAGAGAACAAAGAAACAATTGTACATTAAGTAGATAAAACAAAACCAAGTTAAATGAATGAAAGAATGAATGTTTGCAGTAAGCATTGATTTGTTTGGGGTTTTGTGTTCTTTCGGAGTTGTAAAGATATTTTATGGTTTACACCATTTAGCAGGTTAATTTGAGCAAAAACATTTTGCAATTGATCGTATTTTCTAGTTCAGTTCTAGTTCAGTTCCAGTTCAGTTCTAGTTCAGTTCTAGTTCAGTTCTAGTTCAGTTCTAGTTCAGTTCTAGTTCAGTTCTAGTTCAGTTCTAGGTTAGTTCTAGTTCAGTTCTAGTTCAGTTCTAGTTCAGTTCTAGTTCAGTTCTAGTTCAGTTCTAGTTCAGTTCTAGTTCAGTTCTAGTTCAGTTCTAGTTCAGTTCTAGTTCAGTTCTAGTTCAGTTCTAGTTCAGTTCTAGTTCAGTTCTAGTTCAGTTCTAGTTCAGTTCTAGTTCAGTTCTAGTTCAGTTCTAGTTCAGTTCTAGTTCAGTTCTGTTCAGTTCAGTTCAGTTCAGTTCTAGTTCAGTTCTAGTTCAGTTCTAGTTCAGTTTCTAGTTTCAGTTCTAGTTCAGTTCTAGTTCAGTTCTAGTTCAGTTTCTAGTTTAGTTCTTAGTTCAGTCTGCTCTGTTCTAGTTCAGTTTCAGTTCAGTTCTAGTTCCTGTTCTCGTTCAGTTCTCGTTCAGTTTTCAGTTCCAGTTTCTAGTTCAGTTCTAGCTTCTAGTTCTAGTTCAGTTGCTAGTTCAGTTCTATTCAGTTCTAGTTCAGTTCTAGTTCATTCGTAGTTCTAGTTCTAGTTCTAGTTTCAGTTCTAGTTCAGTTCTAGTCCAGTTCTAGTTCAGTTCTAGTTCAGTTCTAGTTCAGTTTTTCTAGTTCAGTCTAGTTCAGTTTCTAGTTCTAGTTCAGTTCTAGTTCAGTTCTTAGTTCAGTTCTAGTTCAGTTCTAGTTGCCGTTCTAGTTCAGTTCTAGTTCAGTTCTAGTTCAGTTCTAGTTCAGTTCTAGTTCAGTTCTAGTTCAGTTCTAGTTCAGTTCTAGTTCAGTTCTAGTTCAGTCTAGTTCAGTTCTAGTTCAGTTCTAGTTCAGTTCTAGTTCAGTCTAGTTCTAGTTCAGTTCTAGTTCTAGTTCAGTTCTAGTTCAGTTCTAGTTCAGTTCTAGTTCAGTTCTAGTTCAGTTCTAGTTCAGTTCTAGTTTAGTTCTAGTTCAGTTCTAGTTCAGTTCTAGTTCAGTTCTAGTTCAGTTCTAGTTCAGTTCTAGTTCAGTTCTAGTTCAGTTCTAGTTCAGTTCTAGTTAAGTCTAGTTCAGTTCTAGTTCAGTTCTAGTACAGTTCCGTTCTTGGTCTTTTATGGTTTGTATGTTTTGGTCATTTCGTACGATTTCCTTTCAGAAACAGTGTAATTTCCCAAAAATCCTTAGACAAATTTGTGTAAATAAACCATCATCATCATTGCATCTACATCGTACGTAGTAGTACGAAAGTATTTCAAATGGATTTAATTTTTGTTTTGGCATTAGTTCTTTTTCATTTTCTGCAAATTTGTTTACGAGCTTTTACAGTTTTAACAGCCTTGCTTGCCATTTAATGTCGAATTTTTTGTTATTGTTTTGCCTAGAATTTATCATTCTCGTTGGTCCACAGACATTGTTGCCATTGTTTTTAGTGTTTTTTAGGCTTTAAACATAATAAGGATTGAAATGACTTTATTTTGTCAACATCTTATTGATATAAATGTTGCCAAAGTTTTGCCAAAAAACTAATTCAATGGAATTAAAAAGAAGCAGGGGAAATGAATAAGAAGGTATTTAAAAATAATAAACAAAGAAAGTGGCTTAATATAGCTAAAGAATTAATTGAATAGTTTGTTGTGTTCATTGTTTAAAGGGGTTTAAGTTTCTTTATCTAAAATGTATTAATTTCGAAAACTTACTCAAGGTTAAAATAAGGTACATTTTTAAATAAAATCAGTAGAGGGGTCAGGCAAATAGCTAACACCATGACAATTTCTTTGGGGTAGGAAATATTCCTAACACTTTATATGAGGAGGTCATGACAACCTACTATAATAGGTCTCCGATTCCTTTTTACACTTATTTAAATGCTGTTATAATTTTATGCAATTCTTTTAACTGTAACATTTTAAATTAAATTAATATTTGTCTTTTATTTGCAGGTAAATAAATTCAAATTTGTTTGTTTAAACTTAAAGATCTGTAAGTACGCATTATTATGTACGAATGAACATTATTTATTTAATATACATTCCATAAAATAACAGTACTATGAGAATTAGTGAACTTGTAATCAAACTAAGGGCCACAAATTTGAGAAATGCTGACTGGATCATGATGAAGTGACCCAAAATAGTGGTCAAAATCGGAAAATGGTTACTTATAGAATTAAACCTTACTCGTATCAGGGACCCGTATTAACTTGTTCGAACTAACAAAATTCTTTTTTGACTTCATAATTTATCCATTAGAATCACCTTCTGAAAATCTCTCAAATCTAGTGTACGGTATCAAAAGGTCACACACACTCGACTATATTTACATATTTCTTTCAATTCATTTTTGTTACGGTTAATTAATTTTATTTTTATTTACACACATTGTTAAAATAGCATGACATTTGTGTATATTTGAGTTTCAAGTGTAAGATATTGTACAAATAAATGTTAACAGAGTGCAAATTAAATAAAAATTATAGCAATTTAAAACCACTTTGTTTAAATATGTTATATAAAAATAATAATGAAGTATTTTCCATAAAAAAATTAACTTGTAAGATATTTTATTAACAAAATTTCCGAAAAAAAAGGATTTATGCTAGATTTCTGCTAGAAGAGAAAATAGTTTCTTATAAAAAATTATACTCAATTTATACCTTGTTCCGAATTTTCGATTTGTATTTCCGAAAGTTTTAAAAGAATTACAATGGTCCAGTTCAGTACTAGCTCAGTTCTAGTTCAGTTCTAGTTCAGTTCTAGTTCAGTTTAGTAGTTCAGTATTCTAGTTCAGTTCTAGTTCAGTTCTAGTTCAGTTCTATTCATTCTAGTTCAGTTCTAGTTCAGTTCTAGTTCAGTTCTAGTTCAGTTCTAGTTCAGTTCTGGTTCAGTTTTAGTTCAGTTCTAGTTCAGTTCTAGTTCAGTTCTAGTTCAGTTCTAGTTCAGTTCTAGTTCAGTTCTAGTTCAGTTCTAGTTCAGTTCTAGTTCAGTTCTAGTTCAGTTCTAGTTCAGTTCATTTCAGTTCTAGTTCAGTTCTAGTTCAGTTCTAGTTCAGTTCTAGAGTTCAGGTTCTAGTTCAGTTCTAGTCAGTTCTAGTTCAGTTCTAGTTCAGTTCTAGTTCAGTTCTAGTTCAGTTCTAGTTCAGTTCTAGTTCAGTTCTAGTTCAGTTCTAGTTCAGTTCTAGTTCAGTTCTAGTTCAGTCTAGTTCAGTTCTAGTTCAGTTCTAGTTCAGTTCTAGTTCAGTTCTAGTTCAGTTCTAGTTTCAGTTCTAGTTCAGTTCTAGTTCAGTTCTAGTTCAGTTCTAGTTTCAGTTCTAGTTCAGTTCTAGTTCAGTTCTAGTTCAGTTCTAGTTCAGTTCTAGTTCAGTTCTAGTTCAGTTCTAGTTCAGTTCTAGTTCAGTTCTAGTTCAGTTCTAGTTCAGTTCTAGTTCAGTTCTAGTTCAGTTCTAGTTCAGTTTCTAGTTCAGTTCTAGTTCAGTTCTAGTTCAGTTCTAGTTCAGTTCTAGTTCAGTTCTAGTTCAGTTCTAGTTCAGTTCTAGTTCAGTTCTAGTTCAGTTCTAGTTCAGTTTCTAGTTCAGTTCTAGTTCAGTTCTAGTTCAGTTTCTAGTTCAGTTCTAGTTAAGTTCTAGTTCAGTTCTAGTTCAGTTCTAGTTCAGTTCTAGTTCAGTTCTAGTTCAGTCTTAGTTCAGTTCTAGTTCAGTTCTAGTTCAGTTCTAGTCAGTTCTAGTTCAGTTCTAGTTCAGTTCTAGTTCAGTTCTAGTTCAGTTCTAGTTCAGTTCTAGTTCAGTTCTAGTTCAGTTCTAGTTCAGTTCTAGTTCAGTTCTAGTTCAGTTCTAGTTCAGTTCTAGTTCAGTTCTAGTTCAGTTCTAGATCAGTTCTAGTTCAGTTCTAGTTCAGTTCTAGTTCAGTTCTAGTTCAGTTCTAGTTCAGTTCTAGTTCAGTTCTAGTTCAGTTCTAGTTCAGTTCTAGTTCAGTTCTAGTTCAGTTCTAGTTTAGTTCTAGTTCAGTTCTAGTTCAGTTCTAGTTCAGTTCTAGTTCAGTTCTAGTTCAGTTCTAGTTCAGTTCTAGTTCAGTTCTAGTTCAGTTCTAGTTTCAGTTCTAGTTCAGTTCTAGTTCAGTTTTAGTTCAGTTCTAGTTCAGTTCTAGTTCAGTTCTAGTTCAGTTCTAGTTCAGTTCTAGTTCAGTTCTAGTTCAGTTCTAGTTCAGTTCTAGTTCAGTTCTAGCTCAGTTCTAGTTCAGTTCTAGTTCAGTTCTAGTTCAGTTTTTAAAAAATAGACTTTTTAAAATTTATTAAAAATTCACTATTAAAATAGAAATATTCTCCAAAACTTTTTTGGATTTTTCTAAATATCTGTAAAAAGAAAACTTTTTTAAAATTCTTTATTAGAAAATAAATTTTTCAAAAAGCTTTTTTTTAGAGAAAAAAACACACCTTCATCTTTAAAATTGAAGTATAGTGTGTTAAAGTTACATATTTATTACAAAAACTTTTTCTAGAATAAAGACATAAATAATTTTTTCCGCAAACTCCATATACGAACAATTTTAAAAACTAATTGGCAACAATTAATTATAACCATAAAAATTAAATGAAATTCTTTCCAACTTTTTATAATGCCCACTGAATTACAGTAACTACTCTGGAAACACTTAAAAAGGACCGTTTTTTCATTTTTTGTTCGCTTAAAACTAGCGCAACGTTTAGCAATTGCAATTTATTGAAAAAATATTGACAGGTTGTTATATTTTTAAT